GTAAGATTTTCTCTGCAATACACAATATATACATAGAATTAATAGCTTGATGTTAAGGTCTATAAATTTTAAAGAAGACCAAATTATTTTTTCAACATGACTGTATTAATTTACATTCCTTCCAGCAGTGCATAAAGCCTTCTATTTTTCCCATTTCTTGTCTAGATTTGATATTGTCCTCTTTTTTTGCAATGTGAAGGATGAAAAAGGTTTCCTCAGTATTGTCTGTGTTTTAAAATTACTAGTGAGATTAAATACTGCTTTGTGAAATTATTAGTTAATATCATTTACCCTTTAATTTATTGCCTTTCTTAATTTTCCTGTTTTCAATATTTTATGAAATAGATATATGTATATGTATGTATACATACATATACATATATCTATTTCATAAAATATTGAAAACAGGAAAATTAAGAAAGGCAATAAATTAAAGGGTAAATGATATTAACTAATAATTTCACAAAGCAGTATTTAATCTCACTAGTAATTTTAAAACACAGACAATACTGAGGAAACCTTTTTCATCCTTCACATTGCAAAAAAAGAGGACAATATCAAATCTAGACAAGAAATGGGAAAAATAGAAGGCTTTATGCACTGCTGGAAGGAATGTAAATTAATACAGTCATGTTGAAAAAATAATTTGGTCTTCTTTAAAATTTATAGACCTTAACATCAAGCTATTAATTCTATGTATATATTGTGTATTGCAGAGAAAATCTTACGTATCTATAAGAAAGGGGAAATTGGCAAGCCTGGTTATTTCAGAAGTGATCATAATACCAAAGAACTGGAAACCACGTAAATGGACTTCAGTTAGAGAATAGATAAAAGTGGTATAGTCACACAATGGCATAAAACAGGCATTTGTTTGCCCTATCAAAATGACTTTACTACAGAATTTGCCTCTCACAAGAAAAGTTTTAAATGCCAGGCTCTTCATTAAATGGCTCTCTTCCACATTCAATTTGGAGATAGGAATCAATTCAGGGAACTGGGAACAAAGGAAAAGGCTGCTGAGATCTTTTGTTAAAAATATCCCTCTCTGATAATATCAGAGAGATTCACAAAGAGAAATTCTTTCTTCTTTTCATCCTGTTTTGCATGTTATTCTATACTATGGCATGATGATGGGAACTGCTGCAGCATTTGATGACTTTGAGGAGAGGGAAATCAGGGGAAATGCAAATAAAAAACACAGAGCCTCACATTGTAGAATATTTAATAACAGCACAGGACTGAATTCCCTCTGAGATACAGTTTTGTGAGCAGAACGTACACTATAGTATAATCCACTAGAAAACTTGGTGTGTGTGTGTGTGTGTGGAGAGAGAGAGAGAGAGAGAGAGAGAGAGAGAGAGAGAGAGAGAGAGAGATCAGATAATATTTTTTTCTCCCACTGAGGAGTACTTCTTATTACAATTCCAGAATTCACCAGCAGTTTAATTGGTTTGGAGGAAAAACAGATCAGTGTGGTGTGGTTTCTTCCGGCAAGCAAAGTGGCCATAACAAGGAACAGGGCATCCCTTCACACAGCTGTACATAGAGAAAAGGTATCTGAGAAAGGGTACTGCATGGATTTTGGGTGGAGAGGCCGGAGTAAGTTTTTCCAGAAAGAGATGGAACTGTGATTTATTTCATTATGTGCCTTCTGTTGACCCTAATGAATCTTCAGAAAAGATGCTGACTATTGTAAATGTGAGGACATCTCAATTTCTCACTAGTGTTTAAAGGAAAGGACTCTGGTTTCCATGAGAGGAAAAAGATCTAGAATTGGATTTTTCTCAAGCTTTACCTGGATCTCAAAACTCAAGGGATGATTGACTACATTTTTAGGTTTCCTTACCAGGGCAAACACATAATCTTCAATTAAATCCTTATCCTAGAATAACCAAAATTTTATCTTCAGTACTTCTGATCTCTGAAAAATATAGTAGGGAGGAATGGAAGTCAAGCTGCCCCATGCCTGAATGTTTCCAAAGTAGCAGGAAACTGCCAGACTTGCTGAGTCATTATTGTAGACTTAGAAACATTATAGGAGATTATTAGAACATGTTAAAGTTGGATGTACTTAGTATACATGATTTTTCCCAAATTTTGCTTAAATATAATTGACACAATAATAATTGTATATATTTATGGAATACAGTGCATTGTTTCAATACAAGAATATAGTGTGGAATGCGCAAGTCAGATTAATTAACATATTAACAACTTCATCACGTTGGATACTTATGTTTCTTTGTGGTGAGAATTTTTTAAATGCAATACTTTTAGCTATTTTGAAATACATACTAATTTATTATCCACTATGGTCATCATGCCGAGTAATACCTTGCCAGAACCTATATCTTCTATTTAAACAGAACTTGGTACCCTTTGATCAATGCCTTCACTTCCCTTTAGCCCCTAGTTATCGCCAATCTTCTCTCTACTTCTGTGAGTTCAACTTTTATTAGATTCCACAAATAAGTGAGACCATGTGGTATTTGTTTCTACATACCTGGCTTATTTCACTTAGCA